GTTGAGTGGAACTCGTCACTGTACATCAACTTCATTGATTATGAAAAGGCATTCGACACTACGGAGTTCCTGAGAAGATTGTCAATATTATCCGGAACCCATACGACGGACTACAGTGCAAAGTAGTGCATGGAGGACAGCTGACAGATGCATTCCAAGTAAGGACCGGAGTCAGACAAGGCTATCTACTCTCTCCCTTCCTCTTTCTTCTGGTGGTCGACTGGATTATGAAGACCTCAACATCTGAAGGAAAACACGGAATACAATGGACAGCTCAGAACCAATTAGACGATTTGGACTTCGCAGATGACCTAGCCCTCCTATCACGTACACACGAACAGATGCAGATGAAGACAGCCAGTGTAGCAGCAGTCTCTGCATCAGTAGGCCTCAGCATACACAAAGGGAAAACTAAGGTCCTCAAATTCAAAGCGGAGAACAGCAATTCAATCACTCTTGATGGCGAAACTCTGGAAGATGTAGAGTCCTTCACATACCTAGGAAGCATCATCGATGAACAAGGAGGTTCAGATGCAGACGTAAAGGCGAGGATCGGCAAAGCAAGGGTCGCATTCCTACAATTGAAGAACATATGTGACTCAAAACAACTTTCAACCAATATCAAAGTGAGAATCTTCAACACCAACGTCAAGGTAGTTCTACTGTATGGAGCTGAAACTTGGAGAACTACAACAACCACAATCAAGAAAGTACAAGTATTTATAAATAACTGTCTACGCAAGATACTCAACATCCATTGGCCGGATACCATCAGCAATAGCCTTCTGTGGGAGAGAACAAACCAACTTCCAGCTGAAGAAGAAATTAGGAAAAGACGATGGAAATGGATAGGACATACATTACGCAAATCGTCAAACTGCATCACGAGGCATCTCTAATTTGGAATCCTGAAGGGAAACGAAAAAGAGGAAGGCCAAAGAAGAGATTGCGTCGGATAATAGAAGCAGATATGAAAGCGATGAATTACAACTGGACGGAGCTAGAAAGGATTGCCCAGGACAGGGTTGGATGGAGAATGCTGGTGAGCGGCCTATGCTCCTTCACGAGGAGTAACAGGTGTAAGTAAGTAAGTAAGTAAGTAAGTAAGTAAGTAAGTAAGTAAGTAAGTAAGTAAGTAAGTAAGTAGTAAGTAAGTAAGTAAGTAAGTAAGTAAGTAAGTAAGTAAGTAAGTAAGTAGTAAGTAAGTAAGTAAGTAAGTAAGTAAGTAGTAAGTAAGTAAGTAAGTAAGTAAGTAAGTAAGTAAGTAAGTAGTAAGTAAGTAAGTAAGTAAGTAAGTAAGTAAGTAAGTAAGTAAGTAAGTAGTAAGTAAGTAAGTAAGTAAGTAAGTAAGTAAGTAGTAAGTAAGTAAGTAAGTAAGTAAGTAAGTAAGTAAGTAAGTAAGTAAGTAAGTAAGTAAGTAAGTAAGTAAGTAAGTACGTAAGTAAGTAAGTAAGTAAGTAAGTAAGTAAGTAAGTAAGTAAGTAAGTAAGTAAGTAAGTAAGTAAGTAAGTAAGTAAGTAAGTAAGTAAGTAAGTAAGTAAGTAAGTAAGTAAGTAAGTAAGTAAGTAAGTAAGTAAGTAAGTAAGTAAGTAAGTAAGTAAATAAAGCCACATCACATCTCTAAATTTGATACGAACTCCTCCAGTAACACTGGCAAAATTCCAGGATATTTATAAATATAAACCTAACCCACGGCCTTCTGAGAGCAAACTAAAAGTATGTCATACGATCAAAACCGAAAGTGCACCTGTATTTACTAAACTCAAAAGACTAGCACCAGATAAGCTTCATACCTCTGGAGCTGAATTCGAATACATGCTACAACTGGGTATTATCCGTCCTTCTGATAGTCGATAAGCATCCCCTTTGTATATGGTCCCAAAAAGAAATGAAAGCGATTAGCCACTGTGAAGGGATTACAGATCCCTCAACCGTCAAACCGTACCAGATAGGTACCCGATACTGCATATCCAAGATTTCACAAACGGTTTACAGGGTGTGAACATATTTACTAAAATTGACTTGGTCATGGAATATCATAATATTCCAGTAGCTGAGGAGGATATCCCTAAGACAGCTGTTACTGCACGTTTTGGAATGTTCGAGTTTGTACACATGCCATTCGGCCTGACGAATGCGGCACAAATATTTCAAAGATCCATGGGTGACCTACTTCAGGATACGTCATTCGCATAGGGGTATATGGGCTATTTGTTAATTGCCAGTCCCGATTTACAATCACACGAACAGCATGTGAGAGCAGTGTTAAAACGGCTGGATGAAAATGGAATGAACATAGATCAAAGTGTGTTTTTGATGTTCGAACTCTAGAATTTCTCGGGTACACAATAAGCCAGAGCGAATTACGCCTATTAAAGATGTGGACACCATCAAACAATACCCCATACCTAGTTCTCTAACACAACTTAGAATTTATCTAGGTCCATGTAACTTTTATCGCAGATTCATACCCGGTCGTGCACAATCAATGCAACTTTTGACAGATTTACTTAAAGGAAAACCAAAAGAATTGAAACTGTCTTCTGACGCCGTTGAAGCTATTAAACAGCTAAAAGATAAACTGACTCAAGCGTCTACGTTGATGTATAGGAATTCCCTTTCTTTACTTGCTTTGATGGCAGATACTTCGAACAAAGCAGCAGACGGCACCCTTAACCAACTGATTTAAAACCAATTGATTTCTTCTCAAAAAGACTCTAGTCAGCAGAAACAAGGTATTTTACTTTCGAGCGAGGACGTCTTGCAATCTACCTAAACATTAAGCATTTCCGACACATGTTGGAAGGCAGGTAATTCATAGTTTTTACAGATCATAGACCACTGACCAATTCACTAAAAACGATAGCTGATAAATGTGTAGAATTTATGGTCTACTATGATATAACTAATACTCCAATCATAGACTTAATCCCAAATACATACTATAAACCCAAACAATAAACCTTCGCAATTACAACGAATTCCGAAAATAATCCAGATGTCTACTCCGTATCTATTTCCTTTCAGATAATCAATCCATTCTGGAAGCCAAACATTTACGTGGAACCAAGAAATTATCAATTATATTTCGTTTTAGTTCCTTATTATTTTACACAGGCAGAAGAGCAGCTCTTCAGATTTGACTGGTTTGCATCATTGCTTCTGAAGCAGGTTCCTCTTTATTATTTTACTTGTGGGCGACATAAGAGGCAGGTGAGTAAACACTAGATAGCCGGACAGAGCATGGAAAAGCCGTACCTCACCAACGTGGTGTTGGGTAGCTCGTTCGCGGTACTTCCCCAGAGTTTTTTGTTTCATTTTCATTATGATGTTGTTCCACGTTTATACCAATGGTCGGGACAGAAACGTCTGCGACAGCGAAGATTCAGTAGATGGGTTTGTGTAAACCCACGTTAAGTTGCACATATCTCTCACCATATGTGGCGATCGGTTTCCTATTTATAATAATCGGTCGTTGGAATTCGCAGGAAGAACGCCAACGTCTGTGCCAATATCGACAAGGTAGCCAACGTTCGCTATCATATCAGTGATGTATAACATACGGCTATGTTCTCCAGTAACGGTTGCCGTTAATGCATGGCAGTCGAGAAGTTTCCCAAAATGTTTTTTCGTGTTGGTTGGTCTGAGGCTCGGAAAATTGCAGGCTTTTTTGAGATTTCGAGATTTTCCGCACTGGTTTTGATACCAGCACTGATCAGGGTTATCTGTCACTCTGAGTTTAGAGACAAATTGTTTCCATGAAGTACTCCTTCGAGACGTTTAGAAGCGTCTACGGACATGACAAATACCAAGGTAACATGTTAGTGCATGACAGAGTTCTTTAACGTCATTTCGTGTCATGTGAATTTTTTCCTTGGCTTAAAAAACCTGGGTGTTTGATTTTCTGGTAATCTCCAGAATTCGGTCGGCGGATGCAGTCAGTTTTGTTTTGAAATGAGACAAGCACTACCCGAACCTTTTAAGGAAGCTTAGACAAGAAGAGTTGTCTAAACAGGTCATCATCGAAGGTCCGTTGACCAATGACCGCGCTCATTAGTAACAACATGTTTGTTGCTGAGTCATGTTATGGATCGATGTTAATGAAGAGTTTATCTAACATTTGTCTATCGGTTAGATCTCCACACTTAAGAATAGAATTTTAAGAGTTTCATAAGGTTCCAAGACATCAATAGTAAACATGCCGAGTGTGATGTACCTGTTGAAACCGCGCAGTAGTGCACATATATGTGTTACGCCGTGCTCGTGGAGGTCAGCTTCTGCGTAGCAGAACCAGACTTCAATGTTCTCGAGCCAAAATGTCGTAAAAGTCTTCATCTTAAATGATTTAGGAGTCTGCCTGGTCACAATAATTATAATGTATAGCAGTGGACGAGGAAAAAAGTCCACAAATACGAAAAAATATCACAATATGTAAAAATTAAAGTAAAAACTGATATAAAGCCATAAAGAGGAACAGACTCGCAGTTTACAACTTGGTGTACTAGATCACGCCATACACACCACTTGAGATGCAACAAGTATTCGGAATTTGACAATGGCTTAACCAGTAACACTTCATAAGTCGGACAGAGTTCTTTTAAATGTTGCAGATTATCCTTTGTGACGAGAACCGCCTAGAAAAAACGTAGGTCCAGGATTTCAAACTGATTGCTTCCAACCACTCTTAATCACTCTCTTGTTCATTTGTGCTGGACACTTAAGAGATATTTTATCTAAGGTATCCCCAATACAATATCTACAACATATAATATGGAAAGAGGATCCTCGACTGCTCCCCGTTCGTCTGCTTTGTTGGTCAGCCTTTTAATTTTTTAAAGCTACTCTTTGATTAAGATAAATATATAAGGTGATCTGATTCACTGTTTTCATATTGGGTCCAGATATGATAAAGTTTCAATTACCCGCGATCGAGGATTGAAGTTTGAGTTTTATTTGTTTAAGTTCTTAGCACAACCACAGAGGGCACATTGTACGGAGGCATGGTAAGTGGATGATGCATCAGGTTCAAGTTAATGTTGTTATTAGACTCGTAAGCGAAGGAATCATGGTAGGTCGAAGAAAGGCCGAGGTCATGTTGGCTTCATACGTTGTACAAATTGTGGTCGAGCATGTCCTAAAGATAAATCTGTATGGAAACTAGTGACACGAAGTATGGTAGAAGCCGCCGCCGTTAAAGATTTGGAAGACGCGTCGGTGTATGGCAGTAAGTCTCATTTTAATTGAGTTGTTGGACATGGATACGTTCCGGGTCATGAGCAGTCCGGAACCACTCATTGTCCTAGAGTAAAATCAGCTTTAGCAGAGTCAGTTATTACAGTACCAACTGACACAGATACGGGCTGTACACTTTTTAAAATAATAGATTTACATTTTTAACTGGTGCTCAGTACCAACCTAATGTTTTTTAATGCTTTATTCCAGAAAACTACGCCGTTCCCAAATTGTACGTCAAACTTCAATACTGTATCAGTTGTGCCATCCACAGTAAAGTTCTTCGAAATCGTAGTCGGGAATCAAGGCGTCTCAGAAGGATTATAGTTAAACCTCGGGTTAAGTTCACACGCCCTATTGCTCCAAGGGCATGATTGCATGAATAAATTTTTATTCATTGGACTTTGCCTTTTGATTTTTGTCAGAAAGTTGTGTTTGTTGGTCAAAATCCGTCACTCCTATTATTCCTGACATGAATGCGTATGGTTTATTTGGTCTCAGAATCCCTATCTGTTGTTTAGAGTAAACATTTTTTACTAGGCAGTTGTCATTCATTCGATTGTATTCGTCGTTTCGTAAATACATTGTCCTTTAAGATGTTTACATATAATTCACGCCTGCTTTTTAAGAACGGACCTATTCACTAGGCTGGTATGTTTACAACAGAACAAACAGTGCGGCTGCAAAATGAGGTGTCAGATTTGCGACAGTTTCGCTGATGAGTCAAGGTTTGAATCGGTAAAGCTGTATGTGGTCTTACGTTTATGATGACTGGCTAACCGATGCGGTGGTACCTAAGTATTGTTTTGGTGGGTTTATCATCACTAGCTTAAGTTTACGTCTAGGAAGTAACGGTTCGGATATCCTGAAACTAGTTAGCCGCAAACATAAAATGCCTTTCGGATACTATTCTGTTTGGATATGGATGGTTAAGTAAAACTGCGTTTGTACTTGAATATTGCCGAGCAACTTGAAAGCAAAAAATTATGTACAAAGGATGTTTTATCATAAGGTTGTATTTATATAATGAAACACTGCGTTGAGCCGAATGCATTTCGTATTCGTGGATACCTTTCACAATGGTGACAAGTACACTGAATCAGTCATTAAAACTCGGACAGACTGTATGGGATTATTTCATGTTTATTATTTGACTGACGTTCCGTAGTCGCAAAATAATCTGCCGGCAGGTTTCTATATTCACCTTGATATTGTAAATCATCATCCTCAATACTCGGGGTGTTCTGCTGCCACTAAATCCGATAAAATACAGAGCAAAAGTTTTTCGGGAACTTTGATTTGATGGACTACGAATGTTCAGGATGTAATCAGGCAAACAATTATGATTGTTTATAGGGATGTCCATTCATGAGATGGTCTGCAGTTAGATTCTGCTAACCTAAGTAAACTGCAGTCCTGGTGGACATTGTTATCCATTTGGGTGAAAGATTTGATACGCGGGTGTTTAGTCTTAGAAGCAGTCATAGAAAACCAGATTATTAACATGATAGTGCACTTCTTAAATTAGTCTTATACTATCTCACTACATAGGGTAGGAACGTAGATCACCCTAACTAGCTTCTGAAACCTTAGCTTTGACCAGGAATTTGTGAAACATTCTTAGTCAAGCGTTTTTGGTCGTAACCACAGAAAGTAGTAGTGATATATTCTGGGAAGTGTCTGTCAGTTGCAACAGTGGAAATTTTGTGAGTGGGTGTTCCCCGTTTCAGTCCAATTTATCTGTTGTGGATCGCTACTGTATTCATAGATCCAAAACATATACCGTTTAAAGGCTCACTAGTGATAATACTATCACTGTATCCTATCAATTTTGGTTAATGAGCATAATCCTCCTGTCGCATGTGTTACTTCACACTCTTGAACTAAGTGATGACAAGCACTGGGATGATGGTTCCGAGTAACTCATACACTTAAGTTAATTATTCCGCAACTAAATAAGTTATAAGTACGATTGTACAGCTTAATTGAAGTTGGGAAAGGAGTTTTCTCTGCCAGACATATCTACCCTTCCTCAAAAACATGATAGATCTATTTCGTTACCATTGTATTCATTTTGGATTTCTACTGTTGGTGTATGATCCGTGATAATTGTTATAGCATAAATATGGCTGTGGTAAAGTTGATTCGGTTACGATTCTCACTTAAGTATGTAGCGTCGTAGAGAACTTATTAAGCAACAACATAGAGGGTGATTTCAACTAAGAGTGCAGTGAAGAGTTACAAAAAAGGAAACGTGATTTCATAAAGACAAATGCATCAAGAATACCATTAGCATCATTGTTATAAATGTATGGAAATGAAATGAAGGTACAGTACGTAGCTACTGTCCCCAAATGCCCTGGTTCGGCCGAGAGTGGGGAGGGTTCGCTCACCCTCTCGAAACGCTCTCACATGGACACGCGTATATAGCCTCTGCCAGGGAAGTCCTACTCACTGCCTTCTCGTGGCAGTACTGTTGTTTACGAAATTGAGAGGACGAAAACGAATGTCCGGCTCTTTAACCGGGCTGGTGGATACGCAGAGTCCACCTATGGGAGTTGGAAAACTCTGATTCCAGAACAAGTGGTGTACATGGGCTCCAGTATCCTGAAGGAACGAATGGCGTATGAACCAATCGTTGGTCACCGGCTACCATGGGACTGCATCTCCCAACGTTGCTCCACTGCCTTGTGGATTAGGCCTTTAGGTTGAAGGCTCCGGGTGTGGTTCCCTAGGAAGACCACCTACTTCGATTTGGGCTCCCGGGCAGTATCACAACCCTCACACAAATCTAGTGAGATGACAATTACTTCACGAAATACTATACGCGCTTCAATTAGAATTCAGACATTTTACATGCACTTGATAGCCCTGATTTTTATTATAATCACTATTGTTTATATACTACGTCACTTATTTACCTCTATTATCCATATTTTTCAACTTATACAGCAGCTCACCTATGGTGGAAATTCTGTTCTATCTAAACGATCTCGAGTCACTGCCTGGTCGAAAGTTGAATGCTCCCACCGAATACGAATACTGAAACGGTCTTTCTGAAACCACGTGCACCATTCAAACTGGCTGCGTTCAACGTTCGCGCACTTATGCAGATCGAACAACAGATAAGGCTGGCTATGTCTTTAGAAAGACTTGATATCGACGTCTTTTGTCTATCTGAAACCCGTATTCAGGACTCTAGTGAAGTACTACAAATTTGCTCTCCATATGTCGCTTCAAAAAACTTGTTTTACGTGCGTTTATCCGGGGACCCTGTGGCATCTTCGTCTGATCTTGCTGGCGTTGGTGTCGCACTAAGCGCTAGAGCTGAGGCAGCACTAATCGATTGGATCCTCAATAACAGTCGGTTTTGTGCTGTTAGACTAGAAGGTTCCATCAAAGTGAGAAGAAATCGGCGTGAGAAACGATATCTTTTCGTCATCTCCGCCTATGCTCCGACAGATTGCAGCCCGGATGCAATCAAGGATGAGTTTTACCACCAGTTGTCTGTTCTTCTTCAGAAAGTGCGTTCGACAGACATTGTGGCAGTAGTCGGAGACTTGAATGCCCAAATCGGGAGTCTAGACACAAGAGGATCGTTTAGATGGCCGATGGGGACTTGTTAGTCGCACGACAGATAACGGGGACTGTCTACTGCAACTGTGTGCAGACCACAACCTGTTTCTGGCTAGCACTAACTTTCGGTACAGTCATGGTCGATGTGCCACCTGGCATCCTCCCTCTGCCTCTCAAGCCTCGACTCAGATTGATCACATCGCAATCAACTACCGCTGGCGTGGTTGTGTACAAGACTGCCACTCCTTTTGGAGTACGTATCTGGACTCTGATCATTTATTTATTTATTTTAACACATAGATATTGGTACAAGGAGGCACCAAATACATATGCGCCAAACAAATCTCATTTGATACGTGTGAGGGCTGTGATACTTCCCGGGTGACCAAATCGAAGCAGGTGGTTTTCTTAGAGGGCCACACCCCGAGCCTTCGACCTGAAGGCCTAATCCACAATGCAGTGGAGCAACGTTGGGAGATGCAGTCCCATGGTAGCCGGTGACCAACGATTGGCTCATACGCCATTTGTTCCCTTAGGATAATATAGACCATGTTCACCATTGGTTTTGATATTCGATCATAGGTGTCTTCGAAGCATTGCTAGTGTATTTCGGGACCACGAAGTAAGGAATACCTAGGTTAGGAATAATGTACTGGGTAAGAATTGAAAATGGATTGATGAGAAAGTTAATCTTCAACTGAGGTGATTGGGACATGTGTTACGTATGTCCAACCACCGCCTATCTCGACGAACGGTTTTTTTAGTGTAGTAGTAGGGTGGAAGAAAGTTAGGGACGTCCAAATCAAAACTTTTCATCGGTATATGAAGTCACTAACAATTGGAGTTACCCATGCTAATAGGTGTAGGCTAATTGTTTGGGGTCCACGTGATTATCGTAACCAATGGTTAGAGACTTTGATTGACATGGCTCAAAATCGTTTGTAGCTGCGCAGATGCATCCATTCTTTGTATTTTCTCAAGTTCTAAATTCCACATAACTTCGTTTTCATATTTCACAAATCTATATTTTTTCGAGTCGTATTTTGAATGTCTAATCGTTTTAATCACCACTGGTAATTTTACTACCTCTACTATTCTGGGCTGCAATTGTGTGACGCCAAGAAAATGACGAGTAAAGTCTCTTGCGGCTTCGGAAAACGTCCCGTTTATAAGCACTGGGTTTCTTCTGGTTCCTTACAACTCATTGAAGCCAGTCGGCCTACTCCGGGTAACCGTGAGTTTGGCCACAAACGACGACTTTTACGTAATCAAATTGAGCAAAGCTTGCATAAGGCCCGAGAAACCTGATGGTCGGAGCGTGCTAATGAGCTGTAAGTAGCAGCTGCATTTGGTGACTACTGGAAGCTCTTCCAACTCATCCGAGCCACTGGCAGCAAGAAGTCTGGTGTGAGCGAAACAATCTGTGAGGATGATGGGATGCCAATCACTAACATCCATCGACGTCTTGGACGATGGACAGAATTGTTCGAAGGGCAGTTCAACTGGCCGACAACATCGGTCAGACTGTCCTGCCCTCCATGGCCGGTGACGACTGATCCACCAAATGAGGCGGAAGTCCATACGGCACTCCAACTCTTGAAGCGCTACAAATCACCTGGCCCAGATGACTTACCTCCGGCTCTTTTTGAAGATGGTGGTGACTTTCTGGCTAAGGAATTGACGACGTTGTTTACAAAGGTTTGGGAACTAGAGAGTGTACCAACGTCATGGAATGAGTCGATAGTTGTCCCTATCTTTACAAAGGGTTCACGTCGTTCCTGTAACATCTATCGGGGGATAAGTCTACTTCCGATTGCGTCCAAGCTATTGGCTTCCGTCATACTTCGTAGGTTGTTCAAAACCCGAGAAAGATTGACTCACGAGAAGTAGGCTGGTTTTCGTTGTAGTTGAGAATGCTTTGATCATATCTTCACCCTCCGCCAAATGTTAGAACACCGCCATACTTATCAAAGGCCAACAATCGTAGTGTTTCTTGACATCAGTGTTGCTTTCGATTCGTTGGACAGGACTGTTCTCTGGGATTGTCTATTGAAGAAGGGTGTGCCTGAGAAGTTTATTAACATCTTAAAGGCCCTATATAAAAACACCTCAAACAGAGTGAGGGCATACAACCACCTCTCTCCATTGTTCCATTCGAGCAGTGCTGTTAGACAGGGTTGCCCAATCTCACCATTCCTCTTCAACTTTGCCATCGATGACATTCTGGAAACAGCTCTGATGGATGTAAGTAATGGTGGTGTGGATCTGTTGCCTGGAGAAAGACTTCTCGACATTGAGTATGCGGATGATATTGTCTTACTGTGCGATAATGCCCAAGCCATGCAATCCGCACTTAATCAGTTGGCAATCAATGTCCGTAGGTATGGTATGTGCTTTGCACCTTCGAAGTGCAAAGTATTTCTACAAGACTGGCAGGATTCTAGTCCTGTACTCACCCTGGATGGTGAGCAGATAGAAGTAGTCGAGAAGTTCGTGTATCTAGGTAGCTGCATAAGTGCTGGTGGGGGTGTGAGTGATGAGATCAATGCACGAATAGTGAAAGCCAGAGCGGCTTATGCCAATCTGGGCCACCTTTGGCGCCTTCGTGATGTCAGTCTGACTGTAAAAGGCCGGATTTACAACGCGTCGGTGAGAGCAGTTCTGCTCTATGCTTGTGAAACCTGGCCTCTCCGAGTTGAGGGTGTTACACGACTCTCTGTGTTCGATCATCGTTGTCTCCGAAGGATTGCTGACATTCAGTGGGAACACCATGTCAGTAATGCAGAGGTTCGGCATCGTGTGTTCGGGAACAGAGACGATAATGCTATTGGTGTCACCATTTTGAAACACCGACTTCGGTGGCTTGGACATGTTCTACGGATGTCGTCCTAGAGAATTTCACGTCGTGCTTTATTTGCCAACGCCGGGACTGGTTGGGAAAAGCGGAGAGGTGGCCAGTGTATGACATGGTGTCGTGGTATGAAAGAAAGCTGCAATGGGCTGGCTTGTGTTGGTCCTTCACGACTCCTTGGCTGGGGTCGGAGAGATGGTGCAACACAGTGGCTAGAGATGTTATCAGATATGGCTCAGAATAGAAGCGAGTGGCGATCCTGCTGTAACCTTCTTTTACGTTCTTCGCAAAATGTGGTCGTAACTTGTTTAACTTAAAGAATTCTTTCTGATTGTAAATTTTTGTTTCTCCCATTATTATTATTATTTCACTATCATACAGTAATTTGTGGTCGTTATTGTTCTTTTTTCCTTTATACGCACCTTACATTTTTTATCTCTTCCCATTCTCATTGTTTTTGTGTGGCGCATACGTTTCTGGTGCCCCCATGTACCAATATTTATGTGTCCAAATAAATAAATAATAATATAGCTACTAAGTAGTCACCTAACAAATTAAACATAGCGTTCGATGCACATAAAGAAAAATAAAGAAAAAAGCATGCGGATTATAGATGAATATTGTTAACAGGAATTTGAAGCTATCGAAATGGTGAGCGTACACCTCTGTCTCTGCATATAGTGCACCAGTGCGAATGTCTTGACTTGCATGAGCTCCTTACTATGCTAGCAACGCTGCAAGTTTAAATTCCTATTTTTGTTCACCTGAATTCTCCACACAACCTGTCTGTTATTGCTAGCATAACGACAGGCATCTTTTACCAATAGTTCATTGCTCTCTTAATATGCCAGTTTATTTTATACTCTTAAGTGCATTACAGAAGTGTCTATATACAATTTCTGTTTGCTTAAAGAACTCTGAGTTGGATTTTCTTTCTGAATTAGTTGGGGCAGAGAAGAGGATAGGTGGTTGCTGTATCCACTATGTAGATCTAAAGCTACGAGGATCTTACCGTATAGATATGCTGCATTACAAAGATTTAATTGTCTGGTGGTAGATATGTAGAGAACTTAAGTGAGTTTCATAGATTGAAGGTTTCTTTGTTTTCATTTATTATATGTATGCTATGCTAATCATCCGTTTCTTTCTTAGATAGTACTGTATGTCATGTTTCCTGAAGGTTGGCTTTAGAACAATGTCAGAACTTATACTTACATGGAGTTAATTTTAAAGAGTAACGGAAATATCAGCACAATTACGATACGACCTATAAGTGTTACTGCTACTTTGGTGGTAAACTTGTTTCGTTAATGTGTGTCGAAAATGTAAATACTTTCTAATTAATCTCGTATAGCTTCTTCGATTAGTAACATTGCTAGCCTAACTGCCGTTGACAATACAATATTAGAATACACTAGTTTATTGAAAATTTTTATTTTAATCAGACTCCGGAAACTAATCAAACTTGATTCGAGTGTGAATAGTACAACCATTGAAATAAGTGTCTAGGATATTCTCAGTCAATCATCAGACTTACAATCAAGAATTCAGAAATGTGCAGTTGTTAAATCTTTAATGATATGCTCCAGTGTGAATGCAATTAGGCCGTCATTCTAGCTCCCCTGTAGAACATATGACTACTCAAAATCAAGCGTAAACCTAGATATTAGTAGATAATCAGAAGTATTGAAATTATTTCGGGAATTCTTATCAAAACAATTTGAATACGTGGTCTGCTTCGGGGTCTACTCCGAGATCCTCGTCGAAGTAATCTCATACGTAACTGAGGAATTTGGTTGCAAAGCATACATATCTTTAGTAAGGCGGTCAAGTGGAGTCGTGTGTAGCACAGATACAACCTTTACTTTCGTAAGTTCATATATCCGATCAGTTATTACATCCGGTTTTTATTCTCCGACATCTTCATCACTAAGAAACAGTATGTTGGATGCTTTACGATAGACATCTAAAACTTAACTGATAATATAAGTGTCTATCTGCCTGACGATGTTATCACCAGGTTGAACATCGGCTAACAAGAGGTCTACAGTTTGCTCATCTGAATCAGGGTTATGTACTTTTTTTTCGGACTTGATCTTCGACCTCATCACGCGACTTAGGCCTAACATACTTGGATAGTGTTTCATTATTTTCAGAGCCCGAAATATGTTTTTAATATCGGGAACCATAATATAGGATTACGGACACTAAAATGAGGTGGAGATAAAAAACAGCTTCCATTAAATCAGTCTTAAAAAGAGCAAGTATAAAGTTTCTTGTAACATGATAAAAACAATAAATATGATGCTTATAATACTTAAGATATATATATTCACCAAATTAAAATGTTTAGTACCAGTTATTGAAAATGGTTATGTTATAGTTATTTCAAAAGGTGAAAATGTAGTTCGATTTATGAGTAATTTCAAAGAACTGTCATTCATAGCAATTATTAAATATGAAGTTATTTTGATTATGAATTGAAGTCGGGCCATCAGTTTGGTGTGATGCTCAGCCTGAATTTGTTTTGTGGAGAGCAGTGTATGAGAGGATCTGAAAGAGAAAATAACAGGGGAAAAGGTGAGTACGTGAGATGAACTTACATTTAAGTAATGAAACTCATCAGCAACAACTTGCAATAACAAAGGTAATTGGGCTGTAGAGATCGTCGAGTTTCATTGCAATCATCAACCGATTAATGTTAGACCACCATTAGAAACCTGGAAGACTGGACGACAGTTTCGTCATAACAAGGGAATCTTCAGCATCGATCGGTTTATGATCTCAAGTAAAACTCAACCATCTCCTCAACCCTTTACTGATAATCATCATATGCTCACTAGTGATTAGCTTTCAGAGGGAATTCTCTAAATTGCAGTGAAAACACATGATCAACAGAGTTCAACCATGTCGGACGTAAGACAGTTACCCACTGAAGACAACAAAAGACGGTTGCACAATATCATGTATTGACCGAAGTTAGATGTTAATATCATTGAGTGCCAGCTCAGTGATCTAAATGTTGGGGTTCGTGTGCGATACTGAAGGCCCTGGACACAATTTCCGTTTGCGGCATCATAGATGCCCACCACTAAGGAGTCCTGTACTACGACAAAACGACCGTTCAGTGCTTCCAGATTTCTAAGTGGTTCGTAATCTCAATGTAAATAACAAAGGAATAAGATCGAGTCCGGTAGATGACACTAGGATTTGGTAAACTAACGTTTTGATGGAGGTACACAGCTTTTCCTGTTTAAATTGACTGTCCCTAGTGCCTGGAGTACTTGGATTTGTTAAGGCTTTGACCGGTGTGTGCGACTAGTGATTTACACAGTTTTACGGCTTCTGTATGATACAAGAATAAGTTCCAGGATGCATGGAATTAGGCCTCTAAATTGTCATAATAATGTGTCTAAATTCGCTCGAGAAGCTATTATACGTATTGTATAACAAATTGGAGCAAACGTAAAATCTTGGCAAGTATCAATGAAGTGATTGTAATAAGTTCTAAGCTAGTATTGTGTTATTCATAGGCACATGAATAGTGAGAGTATGGATATTTTAATTCCATAAAAATCCTTAGAATCAACTTTATAAATTATTCATCCACTTTGTTCTATACGTTACGTTTCCCACAGTTCTCAAATCAAGCCCCCAAATGCCCTGCTCTCACATGGACACGCGTATATAGCCTCTGCCAGGGAAGTCCTACTCACTGCCTTCTCGTGGCAGTACTGTTGTTTACGAAATTGAGAGGACGAAAACGAATGTCCGGCTCTTTAACCGGGCTGGTGGATACGCAGAGTCCACCTATGGGAGTTGGAAAACTCTGATTCCAGAACAAGTGGTGTACATGGGCTCCAGTATCCTGAAGGAACGAATGGCGTATGAACCAATCGTTGGTCACCGGCTACCATGGGACTGCATCTCCCAACGTTGCTCCACTGCCTTGTGGATTAGGCCTTTAGGTTGAAGGCTCCGGGTGTGGTTCCCTAGGAAGACCACCTACTTCGATTTGGGCTCCCGGGCAGTATCACAGCCCTCACACGTATCAAATGAGATTTGTTTGGCGCATATGTATTTGGTGCCTCCTTGTACCAATATTTATGTGTTAAAATAAATAATACAAATCAACATCTAATAAATGGTATGCTGTAATCATCAGATCAGCATGTTAAGTGAGACTGACAATTATCCACCGGTGGTTGAGATTCCTTTCCCTTTTTGGTAAAAGTGTAACGAAAATTTTCAAAACGGGGTGAGAAAAATGTTTAATATTTACAAAATATGTAGTCACCGTTGTGTAAATGACGTACACACATTGTTATAATACAATGTTTAAGCTACTTATATGGTTAAAAGTAGTGCAATTGGAAAATGTGTTGTAATGCTCAATGTACAATGGTCCAAATGTTGCCTCATATGATGGTCTTAAAACACTATATCATAATTTAAAATGATCATTTCTTTAGCAAGCAAAAAAGTCAGTTTTCTCATTCTAGCTTTTCAGTTGGAAATTATTAGAGGAAATTTATCAAACTTCATTGAGTATTTTTTGAAATTGACGAATATTTTAAATTTAAAATACTAAACTCCTGAATACGTTTCCTTTTGTGGTATCGAAAACAACATGATATTTGTAGCTGGAAATACTGTAATACCCAGAAGAAATAATACACTGAGGATGTGGAATTGGCAGATTTAGATTCTACTTACCTTCATCAGACTTTCAATGGTAATTACAGATTATCCTATTACAAGACCGTTTTTATGATTTTTCTATGTGTTTAGTTATACTCACAATTCTCAGCCGATTTCAGTCCAGGTCTTAAGTAAAAAAACCCTTCCTAACCCTCAGAAATTAAAATATAGTCAAAGTCTCAACATATTTCCTACACACAGTATACACGAACCATAAATGAAAGTTACAAATATAATAAATATCAGTTCAGTGAAAGTGATGAATTTCTACCATAAATTCTCTGTAACAGGGGCAAAAAAACGTAGATGTCTTGCACCAATTCCTACTAAGTGACTCAAGTGTTACAAAACATAAATATTCCTATTATTCAGTCTATTCAAAATTATCAGTATGGGGTTGTGGAGATTACTAAGTTTTTGATTGAGATCATGAAACAACTGATGTTAGACCACCATTGAAAACCTGGAAGCACTGGACGGCCGTTTCGTCCTATTGTAGGACTCCTCAGCAGTGCGTGTCCACGACCGCGCTAGCGGGATTCGGACCCAGGTCCTTGAAAATTACCAAACCAAAAATTGAATACTTCATATGCAAATCACCTATCAATTGTTCTTTACATCTTTCATGATTCTTCCAATTCTTCATTCCTTTATGTTTCCTTTTCTGTCTTTATTCAGTTCATTGTTCGCAATCTTCTGCTGACAGGCATTCCATTTTAGATTGCTATTGCATGCTGCTTATGTCGACAGACATAATAATTTTAGTATTTATTAACTAAAGAATATTCAGTAAACGATTCATCAGGTTTTCTTAATGAAGAAAGATCTTTATGTTACCTCAGCACTACATCCATTGAAAAAAGAATCCTAATGAAATATATAAACATATATCACTGTACTACATAAATACACCTTTCAACTTTGAAAACGACAGTTGATAGCTGTCACAGAGTATGACACAAAGTGACAATGTAATATCTATCGATTCTCAACCGGTGATCAATGACGTTTTAAATGAATTAGTGGTATCGTTTTTGATTGTGATACTGGATGATGTAGGTTCAATGAAATTTCAGTTACTCAAAAATTTCCGATCCACCTTAATGGTGAGCACAGACCAGTGGAAAATGTAGGTTTAAGGCTTGTTGCTTGTGATTTCTAGAGGTGTAACATGAATAGAGGACTACGAACCATATAGGTGCAACACTAATTTTAGTGATAATAACTCGATTCGAGTTAAACTGTTTAAGGTATGGTTGAATTATCGATTAGACTAGAGGACTTTTTAGAAATGATGATATGAACCATAAGGTTAGTATTGATTACACTCATTAACAAAAAGGCAGGGTTAAGACCATAGCCAAATAAATAATGTTTGAAGAAGTATCAGGCAATTTTAATGTATTCGTCTATTTGACGGCTAACTTAAAAATTTAAATCCAGCAAACGGAATTTTATCTCACATATAATTTGAATCCAATGAAAAGATGTTTTGAAGGCAATCTAAGTGAAGTACTGAAAGTATGAAAATATATTAAAAATACAACAAAATATTCAACAGTAATTCCGACCAAGGATACAATCAAAAATACAGTATTGTTATAGAAAATTAATAACTTAAGATATAGAAAACAATTGATGAGTTTTTATTAGTAGACCGATAATTTATCGGTTATGAAATGATTTTTATTGCTAGTCTAATCTTTTCTACATCTGGTCAATATTCAACAATTCCACTATAGACATACTGGCACCGATCTAATAGAAGTCACTGAAAGAATTTACGCGTCCTATCTACTTATTGATCAGCTGGTCGTGATCTCACTAAAACCAATGTATCTTTCTCTATCATTCAGTCGAATATTCATTGAAAATCCCTTCAAAATCATATAAGCAGTCAGGCAAACTACCGTTGAGATTTCAAGTTTACTTATTTAATTCAAGCAATCTTACCATGTTCTGAAAGTATGATGAAAAGATAAACATGACCTGAGAAATGTGATTTAATTCCTCAGTTTATTTTCAACTATCCGATTAAAAATATACTTATCAAAACATTTGCATGAAAAAGCTAAAGAAGATCAGTTAATTAAAGGTCAGATAAATACAAAGGGATAACTGAAAATATAAACAAGAGAAGGATTATGCACTGAAGGGAGAATAAGAAGTTTTAATATTACCTTAGGGGTAAAAATGAGTTATTATGTGCCTGATTCTCGTTGATCAAACCTCAAACTGCACCGAATCACAACTTACATCTCCCTACATTGAATCCGGAAGAAAGTTTTTACTTCTGATACCTTCATCTATGATAAGAGAGTATAGTTAAATCTACGGTGATTTAAGGTCTCTACTGAAAGACTATAAAATACAATCATTTATCTCCGCATGAACCACAATTCAAAGAACAGTCAGAGAGGTTTGTGAATATTTTAAAATGAACCTTTATCGAAGTTCTTGGCGAGAAAGCGAACGATGCACTGGTTTGTAAGTTAATCTTTTATTCTACAAAAGTGAGCAAATACAAATCGATCAGTAAAATCTCCTTCATACATTGTCTCCTGAATCGAAAACTACACAAGATGTTTTAGGAACTCATTCTTTCAAAATGATAACACTAATTACTTTATGCGCAAGAGTTTATACGGTGAGATCAATATACTTTAGAGATTATAGAATACGACATCTGCTAGGAGAGGTGATTAGGCTTTAAAGCCTTATCATTTGAAATGAACTAACATTTAGATTAATTAGAAACGTATCACTTAACTAATTTACTGTTTATTCTGAACAATTAACCCCTCGATTACCAGTAGTTGCAAAGGAATTAGAAGAAAGAATCCCTTTGGTGAGTTAATTTTCTAATGAATAATTGAGCTGAACTGATTAACAATTGTCCGATTCGTATGAATGAAAAAGTCAAATGCTTCATAAATGAAGATTTTGTTTATTCATCTATAATCTAAGACTGTTACTTTCAAATATTGTTCACATTCTACCGTGGTGTGTGCTACTTATGTCGACAGATATAAGTAGTATGTAGCACCAGTCGAAAGTGGAATGCCTGGCAGTAAAAGGTTGAGAAGATCGAATAAAAGAGAACGGGAGCAGAGAGCGATTGGTATGGAATTGAAGGAACAATAAAGTTTGGGACAATTGATGAACATTTTACAAATGAAGTATTAACTGCATGATGTTTACATTTCACTAAATAACTTCGTAATTTTGTGTTCGAATATACTTTGTTGCCTCCATGTGTGTTTTCGTTCATCAGGATGCTACTTATGACAAGAATAAACAAAAATTTCGAACTACGCTGGTGGTTTTGTAATGTTTGATATACTATCTGGGGGGAATTCTCGTTAACAAACTGGAATTAGTTAGGAAGAATTACTCTCAGAATGTTCGAAATTCCCCAAAATTCATTTAAGTAAATCGTGATCATGTACTTGATAGTGATTATTTTATTTATTATTATTTATTATTTATTATTATTTTATTTATTTTTATTTCTCCAAACTGTGGCACAAAAAATCAATCGTGTCAAGAGTATGATAGTTACAACCTCCGATATTAGATGAGAACTGGATAAAGTTTAGAAATTTGTACTAATGGGTTTCGAGTAAAGGATTGGGTGAGGTGGTGGTAAATGAAGTTCCTAAGGTTTAATTCAATGTGAGGTTATGATTTCTCATTACCGTGGGGTCCTGATGATTCTCTTGTTGATTCCAGATTGTAATGAATCTTATTCTAAAAACTTTTAAAGTGTTAGGGAAAAAAATAAAGTGTAATGCATATTTGAGAGCGACTCTTATTGTTTGCTAATTTTGTCCGATAAATGTGGTAATCTAATTGTTCAATAGTCTTGTAATGTTTAAATATGTGTTTTTCTTTTAGTTTTACGTCTTTAAATTTTATTACATTAATAAGCTATTTTGTTTCAGACATCATATCATGACTTGACTTTGGTTGTATAACCGTTGAAAACAAAGAAACACTGACAGTGAATTTGTAATTTTATTGATGGTGTTTAATGACACAAGATAGAATGTAAAGTATTAAGTTTATCATACAATGATAATAATCATCATGTGCTCACTAGTGACTGGCTTTAAGAGGTATTTCCTTGAGTTCTAGTGATATACCATGGCCAGTGGAGTTCAACCAGGTCTGGTGTGAGATAGTAACTCACTGAAGATAATGGTGGACTGTGGCGCAATTTTGTAGATTGGTTAAAGTTAGACATTAACACCGTTGGATGCCGTCTCAGTGCTCTAGAGGTTGAGCGTTCGCGCACGAGACCGATAGATCCTGAGTTCGAATCCCGGGAGCGGGATCGTGGATGCGTACTGATGAGGAGTCGCATAGTCGTTGCCCCGGTAGGTCGAGGGAGATATAGAGGTCAGCGCGCCGCAGACTCGACATTTTGACGGAGAGCGTAGCACAGACTGCAGAGACGAAGAATGTGGCACGGCGAAAATGAACCACCGCAAGAACGACTGCTTTAAAGGGGGGACGAGTGTGGTGTGTGCTACTTATATTGACATAAGTAGTATATGATGTTATTCGTGAACAGAAGGTCTGACAGCAGAGAGACAAGAGGATTGAACAGTGAAGAATGGAAACAGAATGAAATTTGTGTGAAAATACAAGAACAATGAAGTGTGGTGCATTTTGAGACAATTGATGGACATTTTGTAAATCAAGCATTTACTTTATGATTGTTAGATTTTATTAACAAGTCCTGTAATTGTGTTAAATACATCCGATTGTCCCCACTGGTGTCCTTGTTCACTACACCATACTAGGACGAAATGGGCGTCCAGTGCTTCCAGGTTTACCATGGTGGTCTGGCTTCAATTGACTCATGAATTCACCTAGTAACTTACTAAAATCTCTACAAAACCCCCTTTGGATAATTATTTATTTAGATTTATATACATTTAAATTATACATTTGAATAAACAGGAGGGAAATTGCTTTGATAGTTAACATTTAAGTAGATACGTTTGCAGTAGAACATAACAGTTCAATTTCAAATTAATCTATGAAGATTATTTTATTTAATACACTGATTATTATCTGGCGACCTGCTTGAACATCTAGGCTACCTGTTCCTGTCATCTAGATAACTGACACTATAAGTTATCTAATTTTATTTGTTTTGATACATGATTATGTTTATTAATAATCGTATAACCTATTCAGATGGGTTTCTGGAAAGTGTACAACATTTCGTTGTACAAATTACAAAAGGCCCAATCAGAGATATCATGTTTGCTGGCAATATGCAACAAAAAAGAATTTACATTATTTAAATGTCGATTGATTGAACTGCTAATCTCTAACTGGCGATCACTCAATATTTATTGTCCGGATCGACCAAGACGTAAGAAACGGAAGCTTGTTGAAATGCTCTATGCTAAGAATCCTATATTGTATCAAAGATATACTATTAAATAAAGCCACTGAAGTGTATACTTGTGTAAAAATACTACTTATTTTTTTATTATTTTTAATACTTTATTTCATCTAAATGTATTTGAATGATTACAGAATCCGTTTGTTTTTTTTTTGTTGTTGTGATTAAGCTAAACATCAGTTTAGTTCAGTGATCAAAATGATATGTTTACATTACGGAACTACTAATTTTTTTTAAATGAATACACTTGTTAAGTATTTATTATTATTTTTAGTGTAATTTAACCAGTTGTTATTTGTAATAAAAATGTATGTATGTATATACAGTAATACGCAAAATACAAACAATAGTTGTACCTCTTTTTAGCGTTGATCACCTTCTTATTATACACACTAATCTTTGATTTGTACAAAATTAGTGTAAAAGCAACCTTTAACCAAGAATATTTAAGAATTTTATTCAAAAAAAACAACAACAACAGAAAGATCAAACTAACCACTAAAATTTGAACAATGATTACTGTGCTTCAATTACAAACACTTGAAATATCTTATATATATATATATATATATATATATATATATATATATATATATATATATATATATATATATATATATATATATATATATATATATATATATATATATAGGCATATGACTACAATATTTTAATAATCACAAGTACCATACCGATTATAAATGACCATTTAAAAAGGGTACAATTTTTAAGTGATGAAATAGTTTCATAGTACAAAATAATTCATTTAAATACTTGTTCATGAATTCATTTGAAATATTGAAGTGAACAAGAGTTCTCAAAGAAACATTTTAAAAAGAATACACGATTGTATAAATATACATAAACCAGGTGTGTAAAAGTTGGAAGGCCAGATTTAGCGAATATTCACAATTGAAATCTTTACATAACTTGTTCTTAACTATAAAATTATTATCCATTGATAGAAATACACTTATATTAAGTAAAATGATAATTGAAAATTCAGTTAACATTTATAGAACAAGTTAGTTTCTAGTGAGTAGAAAGATTCTATCGCCAGATCTGTCGCTTCCAACTCTACAAATTCTGGCTTAACATCATTAATTATGTATGATGTATAGTTAAAAAAAAAACGAAATCAACACCGCTATAAATTGGGTATAAAATTCATAACAATGAACAAATAATCTCTGTGTTTGTATGGTATGTACAGTTGGAGTTTTTGTTTCTGCACCAACAATATATCCATTTAATAAAGCTCCTCATTGTAAGAGAGAATTTTATGTATTAATGATGGTGAGATTCAACTACTTCAACTGTTATACCATTCTTGATCGTCTGAGAGAATTAATCATTCAGAGTAAGTCAAAAAAACTTTTTTATTCTAATCAACGGTATTTCAGTTAAACGATTTTTGAGTACAATATTAAGTTTTGTATAGTTGTGCGTTGTTATTGTATTTAATGATTTTTAGAAACGGTTTTTTTTTCAAGCATCCATAGTTATTACTATTCTCTGACAACAGACTAAAACCAGTCGACAAACGAAATCATTACTTTTTTTATATCAATGTAAGTTAGAATGTAGGTCAACCAAGTATAGAATATTTATTAAAATTTGTTATTCTTCTATTCTATTATTTTTCTATTATTAACTTTGAGTTACTTGGTAAGATAGACAAACCAGACTTGAATACTTCATTTGCGAAATTCTCATTAATTGTCTCAGACTTCATTATTGCTTCATTTCCATACCAAATACTTTTTCTTCTCGTTCTTTTTTCCTCGATCTTCTCAACCTTCTGACGTCAGACATTCTATTCTTGACTAGCGTTATATACCACTTATGTCGATATATGTATCACATATCATAAGAGTATCATAACGATATGTTTAAAAATTTGGTTGATTGGCACTGAGTAATATGATAAGAATATGTACAGACAAGAAAATTTGTTATCTAAACAAACGAAATATCTCGTTTATGATTTCTTTTAGATAACAAGTATAATGTAATTTGCAATAACAATTGCGAAGTTTCCCTTAAGAAGTCAAGTTACATAAGCGATAGTGAAGAGTGTATGGTTGAATATTTTAAGAAAAATAGAGATTCAGAAGATCCCTCACCAATATTTGCGCTCCACATCTTCTAAAGTGTAGTTGACTTTGTACTGAGATAAATGACAAACAATAACATGAACTCCTTGAACTGCAAACTGCAACCCCCAAAAAGGCATTACGAACCTCATCACAACAACTTTCTTTACAATAACATTGACATTAGTGTTTTCCACCTGAACAATTTACCAATAACTTAAAGAACAATCTCACAGATCTGACTAGCCTAATATGCATTTAAGAGGTCATATTAGGTTAAATATATTATTCGTCTAAAGTTTATTCTATCCAAGGAATTTCGAAGATACCATCATAAATAGTCAACATTAGACAGAAATGGATTCATAAGCAGGGAAATAACAAGAATACTTCTTTTTAGTGAACTCTAATCCCTTTCTGTACTCCCTGGCATAAATACAACTAATTTCTAGAAGTGAAACGATTCATATTTCGGAGTGTTCAGTTATGAAATTCATGACCTTAATTTCGTTCTATATGAAACTCATCAATCTGAATGTCAGTGTTGTTATTCACACTTAGAGCTAAAGCGTATACTCATCATTTTGAATGCCAGAAGATAACTAGTTAGGTAACTGATTTACGATATACATCAATTTATTTAAGGTATGTGGTATTTGTTATTTACTGTCATGGGTTGTGTTTTCCCATCCTTGATATTTAAGACTAAACTAATCAATCTGTTGGCATACAATATTGTTTATTATTCCCTGTAATTAAAAGTTGATTATATATTTTGGACAGTAGACAATATTGGGATTTAGTAATAACAATAATAATACTCCTCTGACTACTATTAATAATATAGATAGTAATAACAGTATTTATTACTGATAAAGTCAGTCCATGCCAGATTTACAGGCTCAATTCGTATGGTGCAACGAAGGTATCAATGAAAAATATATTACCCATTGATGGTTAATATCACTGTAGAATGTTTCTGTAAATAAGACTTACAGAAGACAACCTTGTAAAACTTAATAAGTTTATTTTGAAACGAATTACAGGATAGAGCTACAAGTGTATGAAAATAATAACACTCATCCAAAATAGAACAGGTAGACGTCAGTTTCACAAAAACTATTCATTTGGTTCCATAATGATTCTATCAATATAAATATTACGCTTGTAGACTCAATTATTATGAAAACTTTTAGAAATACACTATTTCTATGTTAGACGAGTTTGAATAATAACTATAAATTTTTCCTTAAAGTATTACGAACGTCCAAAACAATCATGAACTTGCTTACTTTACTTACGTCTGTTACTCCTCATGAAGGAGTATAGGCCGCCCACCAGCGCTCTTCATCCAACCCTGTCCTGGACATTCCTTTACAACTCTTTCCAGTTGCTATTCATCCTCTTTTCCGCTTCCCTTCAGGATTCTAAGTTAGGGTTTGCTTCGTGATGCAATTTGATGATTTGCGTAACGTGTGTCCTATCCATTTCCATCGTCTTCTCATAATTTCCTCTTCAGCTGGGAGATGGTTTGTTCTCTCCCAGAGAAGGCTGTCGCTGATGGTATCCAGACAATGGATGTTGAATACTTTGCGTAGACAACTGATTTATAAATACTTGTACCTTCTTGATGGTGGTTTTTGTAGTTCTCCAAGTTTGAGCTCCGTACAGTGGAACTGTCTTGACCTTGGTATTGAAGATTCTGACTTCGATATTGGTTGAAAGTTCCACTTGTAGCTCTTCCAGAGTTACTACCAGTCCCAAGCCCGAGTAAAGGAGGAGGGTTGTGCATAGGGTTAGCGACCCCATCCCAGTAGAAAACTAACTCACTAAAAAACGCTAACCAGAAAAAATAATTCAAACAATCATGAACTGGTCCAGATAAATTCCTGATGTGGAATGAAGGGAATACAGCTAAGTTCAAGGTACCATAAAATTAGCAATCATGATGATAAATAGAACTGATAGTGCAAAGTGAATAAATCTCATAGTAGTATCAGTAACAATTAATAATTATTTTGAATAATAAATACTCTTCTACATCATTTCATATTACAAGCACATATAAACATATGCACGAATTAATTTCACGATCGTTAGATATAACGGGAATGTATATATAATTATACAGTTATCTTAATAATCTTGGTAATCATTAAGTCGATTGACTAATCAATTGATTTGGGTTGATTTTACTTAACAGTTGGCTGCATATAATAATCATATTTATTTTGTTATGTATTTTAATACATAATGATTTATGGATATCATTCGCCATGGGTTGATGTTATTTGGAGTGATATTGAGGGCCAGAAAAGATTAAGCAGCAATTTATTCCGAGTATGATACTCTTTAGAGGTATAAAGCCATAACCCAGGGAATGAACCTCAGGAACTCCAGATGTTACAGTGAGTATCTAAAGGTTAGACCACTGAGTTAGAACCCAGTGGTTTCTTGCAGAAGTGACAAGGAAAAAAGGACAGTTTTTTATATTTTCACAGTTAAATTTACGAGTCGATCTAAACTAGACCACCAATAAAAGCCTGGAAGCACTATAAACAATGTAAATAGATACATCTGAATAAAGTGTTCAAATGTTATTTAGTAGTAAGTAGTAGATAGTAATGTCTACGATCATAAAAAAGCACCATAGATGGTTATGTGCTGCTGAAGAGTCCCATACTACGACGAAACGGTCGTCCAGTGCTTCCAGGCTTTTAGTTGTGGTCTAGCTTAGATGGAATCGTGATTTTGACTGTGATTATACTACAATCTCCACAAATCCCCATACTGGAAATAATTAATGTCTAATAATTATTTTCTTCAGTTTCAGTTTTGAAAGGACAGGAGGTTGGGTGGCCTGTGTTAGTCCTGACAATGGTGGTCTCAGTTGATTCAACTTTCTTTCCGAAAGCGTCGACAGATGGAGCTTCAATCAAGTGTCGAGTTAATGGATTCAATTTATTGATGATTCTATGGGAAGGTCGATAGTCAGCTAACAAGTAATTTGTTCTGGGCTTTTGAAACTTTTTAGAAAGTTCTCGTAAATCCCCTGATTCGGAAGACAAGAAAAGTAATGGCATATCAGATGTAAATTTATCAGTTCGCGTCTAGTTCTTCTATATGGCCGTGGAAATAGGTCTAGTTTAACCAGTCGAGGATCATACAGGAGCTTTGCTTTTCCGGGAATCAGCTTAGTTGCGGTTCTTTGAACGTTTTCCAACCGCTTACTGTCCCTTTTTAGGCTTGGGTTAGCCACTTACATGCAGGATGTGGGACGAATTCTGAATACAACGTTAAAAAGGTTTTAGTATCAATATGGCTAAAGGTTATGCTTATTAACCATAGGGTTCTAGAACTTTTGGTGGTTATAGTTTTTAACTCTTGGCTAATGACGACTCCTAAGTCATTGTGTGTCT